ATAATATTCAAAATGCTAAGATTTCAACTGAAAATTACTCATCATACCAAGAACCAGAAAGACCTCAAACTGAATGAAGAAAGATAATGAATAGATACCAACAGTGAGATGACAAGGATGTTAGAATTACCTGAGAAAGATTTTAAAGCAGCCACCATAAAAATCCTTCCACAAGCAATTGCTGACTGTCTGGAAACAAGTGAAAAATACAGTCTTAGAAAAGGAACAGAAAGTCTTCACAAAGAAACAGAATATATAAAAAGGAACCAAATGAAAATTTTAGGACTGAAAAACTACAGTAACCTAAATACAAAATCCAGTGGATGAGATTACAAGATAGAAGAATAGAAATCGCCCAATCTGAGCAAAAGAGAAAAAACAGACTAGAAAAGAGAACACAGCCTCAAGGACCTGTGAGACTATATCCAAAAAATCTAACATTTGTATCATCATAGTCCTAGATAAAGAGGAGGTAGGGGTCAAGGCTAAAAAAAGTACACAAAGAAATAATGGCTGAAAGCATCCTAAATCTGGCAATAGACATAAACCTACAGATTCAAGATGCCAGGCCAAACTAAAACAGAATAAACCTAAAGAAACTCACACCAAGACATATCATAGTCAAACTTCTGAAAACTAAAAATTGAGAACAAAAATTAAAAGCAGCAGGAGAAAAGCAACACCTTATCTACAGGAGAAAAACAATTCAAAAGCAGATCTCATCAGATATCATGGAAGCCAAAAGCATGTGGCACAACTTTTTTTGTTTTTTCCAAGTGCTGAAAGAAAAGAATTGTCAACTCAGAATCCTATACCTAGCGAAAATATCCTTCAGGAATAAAGAGGGAAAGCAAGACATTCTAAGATTAAGGAAAATGAAGATAATTTTTCATTAGTATAATGACTCTAAAAGAATGGCTAAAGAAAATTCTCTAAACAGAAAGCAAATGATAAAGTTAAAAAACTCTTGGGAACATTAGGAAAAAAGAAATAATACGATAAGCAAAAACAGGATAAAAGCAACAGACTTTCCTTTTTTTCTTTAGTTTTCTAAATTATATTTGATGGTTAACACAAAAGTTATAACACCTCTATGACATGGCTCCAAATATATGCAGAGGAAATAAAAATGCAATTACCATAAGACCCAGCAATTATAGTCCTGGGCATATATTCTAAAGAAATAAAAACATATGTGTATATAAAAACCTGTAAACAAATGTTTATGGCAGCTTTATTAATAATAGCTCGAAACTGGATACAATCCATATGTCCTTCAACAGGTCAATGGTTTAACAACTGTGGTACATTCTAACATGGAATTCTGCCCAGCAATAAAAAGGAATAAACTATCAGTATAATGACTAAATTATCAATAATGGCAATAAAGTTATTAATGTAATTACATATATTTATTAATATAACCTATTAACTAAAAGGAATAAACTATTAATACAACCTGAATGACTCTCCAGAGAATTATAGTGAATGAAAAAAGCCAGTTCTAAAATTCACTGTATTAGATGAAATGGATGATTTAGAATTGTCCATTTAGAATCCATTTATGTAACATGCTTGAAATGACAAAATTATAGAAACACAGAATAGTATTATCGGCTGCCAGGGATTAAGGGGGTGTAGGGCTGGAGGGAAGCAGGTATGGCTATAAAAGGGCACTATGAGGAATCCTTGTGGTAATGGAATTGTTCTATATCTTGCCTGCATCAATATTGTACTTGTGATATTATATTACAATTTTGCAACATGTTACTATTGTGAAAAACTGTGTAAAGACAACAAAGGAGCTCTGCAATTTTTTTTACAACTACATGTGAATCTATCATTATCTCAAAATGAAAAGTACAAAAAAAAAAAAAAAAAAAACAGTAACAGTGAAATGTCAAGCCACAGGGTAGGAAAAATTATTTGCAATACATGTAACTGATAAAAGATTAATACCCAGAATATCTAGTAATTCCTATAAATCACTAAGAAAAAGAAAGACAATCCAATTTCAAAAAAATAAAAAAGGGTTAAAGTCTTAAATCACCTTACCAGAGAGGATACTCAGATGACCAATACGCATTATCAAAACAACTTGCTCAATTTTACTGGTCATCAGGAAAGTAGAAATTAAACCCACAAAGACATACCACAACAGACTCTTCAAGATGGCTAAAGTTTTAAAAACTGAAGAAATATCAAGTGTTGACAAAGATGAATATTCTGGAACACTCATATACTGCCAGTAGGAAAATAAGTCAGTATAACCATGTTGGAAAACTGTTTGGCAGTATCTATTAAATCTGAACATATATAAACACTAAGACTCAGCAATTTCATCTTTTAATATATCTTCAACAGAAGTGCTACATATGTGCATTAAAAGATACCTACATATGTGCATTAACAGGCAAGAATTAATAATTAAGGCATTAAAAGTACAAGAATGCTCATAATGACTGGGCACGGTGGCTCATGCCTGTCCTCCCAGCACTTTGGGAGGCCAAGGTGGGTGGGTCACCTGAGATCAGGAGTTCAAGACCAGCCTGACAAATACGTTGAAACCCCGTCTCTACTAAAAATACAAAACTTAGCTGGGCGTGGTGGCGTATGCCTGTAGTCCAAGCTACTTAGGAGGCTGAGACAGAATTGCTTGAACCCGGGAGGTGGAGGTTGCAGTAAGCCGAGATCGCACCACTGCACACTCCAGCCTGGGCGACAGAGCGAGACTCCGTCTCAAAAAAAAAAAAAAAAAAAAAAAAAGAATGCTCATGGTAGTATTATTCCTAATAGCTCTATAGTATAAACCACTAAAATTCCCATCGACACTAGAATGAATACAAAATTGAAGCACATTCACAGATATTCATTCATATATTCATATATATTTATGCTTGATGCCTCTCTTTCCCTCACTCCTATCCAATAGTCAGTCCTCATGCTTCCACCAAAATATAACCTGAATTTGTTCACTTCTCTTCATCTCCATTGATACCATCCTCCTCATATCCACCATTATTTCTCACCTGGTTTACGGCAATAGTCATTTAACTACTCTCCAAGCTCCCACTATGATTTGTTATCTGCAAAGCAGTTATTAAAACATACATCAGATCATCCCATACTCTGTTTAAATCCTTCAGTGGGTTCTATCTGTTAGCAGAATTAAATGTAACTCTTCACTGTGGTTTGGAAGGCTGCCATGCTGATTCTGGTATAGTCTAAGGTATTTCAAAAGAAAGATCTTAAAGATACACTGAGTTGTTTAAATAAATTAAGAGTTCTTTATCTCTCATACACAGTTCAAAGGAAGGCAGTCCTGGGTTGGCAGGGCAGTTCTGCAAGACTCAACATGGAGTTCCATCTCTGGCTCCAAAACGCATGCCCAAGTTTCATCATCACATCTGCATCCCAGCTAGCCAGAAGAAGGAAAGGCAAAAGAGGGGCTATGCTTCTTTTCTCTAAAGAGCACAGTCCAGAACTTTTTCACTCTACTTCTGCTTAACAGCTTCATTATCCACAGCCTCCTCACATGACACACCCAGCAGCAAGTAAGCCCAGGAAATGTCTTCAGTTAAAATGACATGTGCCGACCCACAACTCTATTACTATGGAGGTAGGGAAGAGTAAATATTGAGGACAACTCAGTCTTGGCTCTAGCCTACAGCACATAATCCCTCTCTACTTCTCCACCTTCATCTCTTCCCTTTTTCTCCCTTGCTCATGGTTTGACCTTCTTGCTCATTCCCTGTTAGTCCTCAGGGCCTTTGTCCCTGTGCTGTCATATATCTAAAATTCTCTTCTCTAGATCTCTACATGACCGGCTTTTCTTCATCATTTGAATCTCAGCTCAAGCCTCCTATCTCTTCTGAGAGACATTCCTTGACCCTTCCCTCACAAGCAAAGTAGCCCCCTCCTTATCATTCTGTAACCCATATTGTTTTATTTCTAGCATTTATCACTAGCTTAAATTCTCATTTACTTATCTGCTTATTACCTGTCTCCATCTAGAATATAAACACCATGAGAACAGAACCATTGTCTGACATTTTCTGCTGGATCTCCAGCACCTAGACGCTACTTTGGATAAAACAATAACTCCACAAATATTTATTTTTAAATATTAGGAAAAATTATTTATATAACAAATAATTAAATATGAATTAATTCAGCCAAAACCTATCATTATATGACTGGGAAAACTGCAGCCCAGAGAAAGTAAATGGTTTGCCCAAGATTCTGCAACGAGTTACTAGATTCCCAGGTCAGTGCTTCTCTCTAGCACCCTATTTCATCCAGTATTTTCTTTGAAATCTTCTTCCATTATCTCAGCCCTCAGCAATTATTACTCTGAACTCCCATGGCACTAGACTTTAACGTCCATTTGGTTTTTGTTCCATGTCACTTTATGTCGTTATTTATCTTTATTATATCTATCTTGTTTCCCCAGCCAAACTGTAAGCCCTTTGAAAATACGAACCTTCTAACACACACAGAGAACACAGGCCCTCAATATGTAATTTACAAAGATGGCTAAAGTTAATTTTTATTTATTTATTTATTTGAGACGGAGTTTCGCCTTTGTTGCCCAGGCTGGAGTGCAGTGGCGTGATCTTCACTCACTGCAACCTCTGCCTCCCGGGTTCAAGTGATTCTCCTGCCTCAGCCTCCCAAGGAGCTGGGATTGCAGGCATGAGCCACCATGTCCACTAATTTTGTATTTGTAGTAGAGACAGGGTTTCATCATGTTGTCCAGGCTGGTCTCAAACTCCTGACTTCAGATGATTCACCTGCCTCGGCCTCCCAAAGTGCTGGGATTACAGGTGTTAGCCTGTACCCGGCCCAATTGATTTGTTTACTAAAGTGAAACTCCGGATGATTACAACTTTCATCTTGTCCTATTATTGAGGACAAAAGTTGGCTACTAGAAGGCTAGATTTGGGGCAGAGATAATATCTGTGTGTCCCCAACTGAACAGACACGCGAGAGTGTCTTACCTGCAGTTGGAATCTTACGTGCTTCACCAAAACTGTGCAGGGGAGCTGCTCTGGGTATAATGGGTGGATTCTGAAAGGTAATCCTTGCTGTTGGTGGAATCAGCCCTCGTTCTATCATACTTAAAATCCCTAAAAAGAAACATTAATAGAATGTGAGTTTAATTCCAAGCAATTCCACAAAGTCAGAGTTCTATAAATTTCACAAGTGTAATTTACTCCATTCATCATCTTATTTGTGAGGGTACATCTAGTGCCTTAATCCTTTGCATGAAAAAATAGCTACAATACACATTCATTTAAATGTAATATTCTAACCCAAGGAAAAATGTCATTTCCAATGGCAGTAATATGAAATAAAATTGCACTAAAGTAATTTCATTTTAAGGTGGAAATAAAATTTCAAGGCAAACTAAAACTTCTTTATACTTATGGTATTTTCAATTATTGGTAATACTATTGCTCTTTTTAAAATTCAGAGAAATCAGGCACACATTCTTAATAACTAAGGAGATCCTTTGTTCCAAAAGAAGGAAATCTGTGTACTTGAAACCATGCCCCTGTTGTATAATCAGTCATGCTTTATAAAATAAGGAGTTATTTTCAGACATTTCTCATATCACCAGAAGAAATTAATGCTCAGATAGGTTATTTTGATACAACTGGGCAAAATGGTTAGTATTAATGTAACAAATTCACAATTCCTAGCATTCATACTGTGTTACCATGGCTGGTGCCAAATCTTTTAAAGGATAAAAGACATCATTAAATGAATAAACAAATGAATAAATCAATGAATGATTGACCAAAGCCTGCTGTTAGAGGGAAAACTTTTGTTAAGATGGATCTACTGTATTGAAACCAGAAACCTAGAAACTTGGGGACGACTTGCAATAAATTTGTGGTAGGGCTTCAGTTTCTTCTTGTTCTTTTACATAATAGAAAGTAAGTAAGGAACTCTGGGTCTCAACAAAATCCTAGAATACAAACTGTGTATTCAAGTTGGCCTAAGTTGAAGAATTTGGCACACAACTTGGTCCCTTCTAAGAGGGACCAATATTATTTCCATTTACCTTATGACCTCTATACTATACTACTATTAAGAATGTTAGTCTAGTGTTATAGGAATTCAGTAGAATGATCACTGAAGGGATGGAGAGCTGAAAAACGTTTACTTTTCAAACGTTTAAACGATGATTGTAAAACAATGATTCCAAAGAGAAATCTTCAGTTTACTTACTGCAGACTCATTTAGGGGAAGAATTTCTTATTAAAAGCAAAGATTCCTGGGCCCCAACTCAGACCTGTCCAAACTTCTGAGGACAGGGCCTGGTAATCTGCATTATTGAAGGCTCCAGGAGATATTCATGTGCACTGAAGTTTGAGAACCACTAGAATTGGGGCCCAGTAACATATACGTTAAATAAGCACTCCAGGTTAATCTTTTGTACTCTTAACACTTAAAAACTACTGATCCAGAGTATAACACTTTAGGACCTTTTTGAAATTAGTACTTCGGGTTTTAATTTTTATAACACTAGATTGAACTACTTTAAAAATCTTGTTAAGACTAATTCTTTGTTCTCACAAATACTTTCCACCTATAAATATCAAATTTCATTTCCAAGAACTCTGCCTGTTTTGCAGATGTGAAAAACAGGTCTCCTTATAATTCAGTATATTTTCATTTCAAGAGTCAGTTTCATTCTCTGAGAATTCTGAAGACTATAAGCACGATTTCAACCCATGCTTTAGTGCTGGTTGAAGCAATCATCTTAATTTCAGACAAACACATATGTGTGTCCATCTACTATTGGAAGGAAAAAATTAAGACTTTGGAATAAGTAGAAGAGATTACTGAGTATCTTTTCACTGAAATGCTGGAACCTCTGAAGATTATCTGACCTATAGTCCTACAGGACTCTGTGCATCTTTGTTTTGTGTTGCTTTTTTAGAGACAAGGTCTCATTCTGTTGATCAGGTTGGAGTGCAGTGGCACCATCATAGCTCACTGCACCCTTGAATGCCTGGGCTAAAGTGATCCTCCTGCCTTATCCTTCCAAGTAGCTGAAACTATTGGAATAGCACCATCACATCTGGCTTTTTTTTTTTTTTTTTTTAAATGTAGAGACTAGGTCTCGCTATATTGTCCAGGCTAGTCTTGAACTCCTGGCTTCAACCAATCTTCCTGCCTTGGGCTAGCAAGGTTTTGGGATTATGGGTGTGAGCCACTGTGCTAGGCTGCATCTTTGTTTTTAACTGTCCATTTTATAATTCCATGAAGATTAAGGTTCATTTGTAGAAATCTGATAAGAATGTCACTAATTCTTGTTTCTACACATGCAAATTTAAATTCTTACATGTGGAAGGACAAGTCCCTGAAAAGGCAGTTTTGCATCCATTTGCAAATTTATTTAAATACTCTCAATTTATAAATGTGTTTATTTGGATTGTCCTTTGAATTTACTGTAACATCTTGCTAGTTCCCTCAATTAATAAGTTAATAAAGTCTTTGACATGTGTTCATTTTATATTTATATAAGAGTCATAACTTTACTTTTGAAAAAATCATCCTTTAACAGTTTTGGAGTTCCCACTGAGATGAGCAAAAGGGTCACCTGAAATCATCAGAAATGATGTATCTCACAGGAAGCCAAGCCCAGGCATGATTTTTCTTGGCCCCTACAGGTTAATTTAAAGTTTCTTGTTTTTCTAATTTTAATTTTACTCTCTATTAATTTGTTTTTCTTTTTCATTCATTTATGAATGGCAAGTTATTCCCTGTTGGCAGCTGCCATGATTGGGAATTTGGTGATCTCTGGAAATGATCTAATGTCTTATAGAGAGCATAGTTTGTTAGTTTTTGTCCATCTGTCTATTTTGAGCTCAAATTAGGAATTTCTTGTTCACAAGGAAGGAGAGCAACTCTTTGATATCTGGACTGGTAAGCTTTTTGTGTTTTTATTTTCTTTCTTTTTTTCTCTTTTTCTTTCTTTTCTTTCTTTTTTTTTTTTTTTAAGACACTCTGTAGCCCAGGCTAGAGTACACGGGCATGATCTCAGTTCACTGCAACCTCTGCCTCTAGGGCTCAAGCCATCCTCTCGCCTCAGCCTTCTGAGTAGCTGAGACTACAGGTTCACCACCATGCCCAGCTCACTTTTGTATTTTTTGTTGGGGTTGGGGTTTTGCCATGTTGCCCAGGCTGGTCTCGAACTCCTGGACTCCAGCAATCTGTCTACGTTGGTAGCCTCCCAAAATGCTGGGATTAGAGGCATGAGCCACTGCGTCTGGCCACTGTGTTTATTCTCTATTTATCTGTGGCTGAAATGGTAGAATTGAGGATATACACTCTATCCATATGTCTTTGTATCTGTAATTCAGAAAGTTCCTTATCTCACATTGTGAGTGTAGAATGTTTTCCTGTCTCCAGATGGCTTAATAAATTAGATCATAAAGGCTCTTAAAGGAATTCTGTTCTGATGGCTTGTAGAGATAAATAAGTGCTTACATAAATTGAATATTCATAAAATTACCAAAAATAAAGAAATGAAACTTGTAATACTTTGAATGTGCTCCCTGGACCTCCCAAATTCAGAAACTCTCATTGAGTCTCTACTTTTCATGGCAATATAGTAATTTACATAGTTTCGATGCTGTTCTCTTTGTACTAAGATATAATTAGAAAAATCACTATTGAGCCAATACCTTGCCTAGAATTTTACATTTGAGAATGTTTATTTAATCAGGTATAACAAGTCACTTTTTTTTTTTTTGAGACGGAGTCTCTCTCTGTTGCCCAGACTGGAGTGCAGTGTCATGATCATGGCTCACTGCACCTCTGCCTCCTGGGTTCAAGCAATTCTCGTGCTTCAGCCTCCCGAGTAGCTGGGATTACAGGTGCCCACCATCACACCTGGCTAATTTTTGTATTTTTAGTAGAGATGAAGTTTTGCCATGTTGGCCAGGCTGCTTTTGAACTCCTGACCTCAGGTGATCTGCTCGCCTTGGCCTCCCAAAGTGCTGGGATTACAGGCGGAACCACTGTGCCCGGCTGACGAGTCACTTTTAAAGAATCAAGGTTGATGCGTGATAGAGCCAGTGCTTACAAAGTCCTCCCAGAAAAACTAGCCTGGTATATGGCTTACATGATTTTCAGCCTTTTAAGTGGTAAGGAAGGTTACATGCTATAGCCCCAAGAACTTTAAGATATTTGGAGGACCTCTAGAAGAGAGAAATTTACCCAAATTTATAGGTCCTGCAGTTGAAATCTGATGAACAGAGTTTCTTGGGCTTGATTTCCTAGCCTTGGGATAGCAAATAATAGGGGATTTTATTCAGGCTGAGATTCCCTACAAAAACTTCCAACAAAGCAAATTTAAGCTAGTTTATACGGTAATGAACATTTTTGCTCCACCTATGTAAATTATCAGGCCAAACCTACTGAGACCAGCCTTATTCTGCGAATTTTTGGTTTTTGAGATTGTTTTGGTCAAAAGGGGAGAAGATTATAATATATTTTTTTTAAGTTTTAGAATAAGCAAATGGGATCACTGGATACCCTTTTAATAGAGCCCTGAAATCTCCAGTGAATATCTGAGCCTAGCCTTTGATTGCGCTACTTACGACACTGTAGATATTGAGGTTACTTTGTAAATAACTGATCATAATGCAAATAATTCTTATCTATAGACATGAAAACAAATTCTGTCTGGTGAAGGTGAATTCTCCTTATGGGAAATCCAATTTTGCATTTATTTGCAAATTTATTTCAATATTCCTGATCTACAAATGTGTCCATTCTTTGGATTCTCTTTGAACCGGTTGTTAACTGATGAATTAAATAAAAATCTTTGACCTGTGTTCATTTTATGTTTGTATGACAGTCGTGATTTTAGCTGTTTTTGAAAGTTATCCTTTAACACCATTGTTTTATTAAATCCTCATCCATGTTTAATAAAACACCAGGTTTTATTAAATCCACTCTTACTTTCCTGTTGAATAGATTAAGAATTAGAAGTTCATTCATTCTGTCATTCATTTAACTAATAAAGTGCCTATTATGTGTCAAGAACTATTCTGTGGGCTGGGGATGCAGTGGCGAACCAGAAAGACCTCATGGAGCCTCTAGTGGTGAAGAAGATATTAAATAGACTTAAAATAAATATATTATGATAAACTGTGATAATCTCTGAAGGAAAAGGACAGGTGCTTGAGGAAGTGACCCTTACTGGCAGAGGAAAAGGCACTTGTGAAGGCCTGATCTGCAAATGTGCTTGGCCTGATAAAGATTAGAGAGAAGGCTTAGGTGGCTAAGTATAAAGACAGCTGAGTGGGATGAGAAATGGAGATGTAGGTGAGGGCCAGATCAAGTACGCCTTGTTCATAGAGTTCAGAGTTTATTCTAAGACAGAGAGCAATTTGCCTTAGGTCACAGAGCCAAGCTGAAATTTGGTCTATGTAATGTAAAACTTGTATTCTTAACCATTTGGAGGGGTGGGGTGAAGCTTTCTTTTTTGGATTTAGCCAGGTATTCAAGAAAAAGTAGGAAAGTTTAAAGTTCATTTTTCAAAATGATTCTCTCTTCGGCATGTGATTAGTCTTTCACCTCATTCCGGACCTGTGTAGGTCTGGGGTGAGGCTTAAACAACATTTAAGGGCATTAGAAACACCTAAAAAAATATAGACACTGTATTTATATTTCTGTGACTTGTGGCTTCCTGACATTCATAGTATCTTGCACAATACCAGACATATTGCAAGCACTCAATAAATATATGTCGATTAATTTATTAATCCCTAATATTATGGTAGGCCATGTGTTCTCATGAAGATAATTTAGAAATGAAAATGTGATTTTTTTTCTGGATGAAGTTGCCAAAATTCTAGATTTACCTTTATTTTGTGGCAATTTTTTATTGTCTCTATTGCTAAAGCATAGTAGAGAGATAGATAGACAGACAGACAGACAGAAGGATATATCGATTCATTCATTCATTCACTATTTCATTCATCCTAATTTGGTTCAGGAAGAATATAAGATGGTATTAAAGCAAGAAATGGGAACACTCTGCTGGTGTTATTTAGTATTCCCAGGAAGTAAATATTACATAAGCTAACTAGAAAGCATATGTCACAAAGATTGCTGAACAATGGTTTATAACTATTAAAGTTGCGAGCTTAACAAATCCAGAGACTTATAATAATCTCAGGTTATCTACCACCAGCAGACAGAGGATGCAGTAGCTAGAAGCTGGAGAACTTTGGATTTCCAGGTGGCAGAATAACCTTTGGGAACCAGCTTTGGGTCCTAAATATTCCAGACCAATGGGCAGAAAGTGAGATAAGAAGTAATTAAAGACCATCTTACTAAGTTATATTTGAGATAGGAAAGGGATCCACTTAGGCATTCTTTAACACTTTGGTCAATTAAATTAAATACCAGAGATGGTTACACTTAGGACATTCAGTATTTGGTCACTTGTTTGCTTATTCTTTCATTTTCTTATTCACTCAACCTACACTTAGTATCTACAAAATGCTGGATATGGTTCTAGGTGCTAGAGATACTGAGATAAAGATGAAATCCTTTGCTTAAAAACAAAATCCACTGGTTTCACAAGACTAGAGTTTAGACTAAAACATGCATAGTTTAAACACTAATTACATTAATTCTGGCTTCATATTTCCTTATAATGGGATACTGAAATAAATTTTTAAAATGCTGCCAGAATAATAATATATCAGAAATGATCTGCTCAGAAACTTAGTAAATTCTAATGCTATCACATAAACACAATGATCATTTTACTAGGTAATAACACCATCTATATTTAATATAATCAATATTAAATCCATAGAATGATGAATTTTAAAGGTGGAAGGGACTCTAGTGATTGTCTTGTCCAACTTTTTGATTTACAGAGCAGGAAACTCAGACCAGAGTGAGGACCTGACTTGTCTGAGGTCACCCAGGAGAATCAGCAGGTGAGCCAGAATCCAAATTCAGGTCTCCGATCCTACCTCAATGCTCTTTCTCTTAAGTTCCTAAATGCAAAAAATGGCTATCGAATCACTAACCTTTGCAGGCATCTGCTTGTAAGACTGGTACAGGAGTGAAATAGGGATCTGTGCGATGAGAAGATGGCAGAACCGTGAGGTTGGATACGGTAGACCCTTTGATTAACTTTGGAACATTTACCTAGATAATCAAAAATTTGTTTCAGCAAACATTTCTGCCTTCACAGTGAACACAGTTTTCTTCTTGTAAACAATAAAGTTATGAATAGTTGCATTAAGTTTTAATAAAGTAGCAATATCAGCTCCAATTTTATTGCTCATGAATACTCGGTGCTATTGTCTACTACTGTCAGGAGTTTGTGTAATTTAAAATAGTTAATTAAATCCAATTAACATGTTGTGGTTTCCACTATATAAAGTCAACATAGTAGTTAATAAATGAACTATTAAGATTTTGTTCAATTTTAATGACTACAATATAAAAATGCTAAATCTTGACAGAGGAGGTTTTGAATACAGCAAAGTTTTGTACCAAAAAATTTCCCAGGAAATAAATGTTAGAGTGTTAATGTTAAAAAAAAAAACCTGGAGGAATTAAAAGATAAACATATCAATCAATATTAATCCTGAGTAGATCTTTTTGCAGATCTCAGAGATGGTTACAAAGACACAATATCTGGATTAGTTATAGAAGATAATTACTTTTCCTAAAGTCATAAAATGTTTTTATTACAGTTACAAAATATGAATTGTTTCTATTAAATGGTTTCTAGATTTTAAAGATTACATATATTGCATATAAATCACATTTGATTGTATAGTCCAACTACACTATTTTTACCTTTATTATAGGAGTTTATGAATTACTTGGGTTCTCTCAGCAGGGAAGATGCAACTCTTTGGTATTTATAGACTGAATTTTCAAGTCATTTTCCAAACATTAATTAATTTGCATAACTTCCAAGGGAACTAGATAACAGTTTGCTATTTAACTAATAAAGAACTTAAGACATAAAGATTAGATTTGTTTCAGGCCATACAGTATACTAGATACGCACAGATTATTCAATTCTGAAATTAATCTGATTTTACATTAGTAAAATTTGCCATTGGACTCGGTGGCACAATACCTTATTGCCATTAAGGTCATAGTGACTTTAAGGAAAAACAAAGGGAAAGCTTCATCGAGACCGGGGGAGAAAATCACTTTACAAAATAAGTATCTATTAGCTGAGAAATGTCTGGATAAAGGGTTAGGGCCCCCACTGCCAGGATGTGGTAACACCATGAATATCAAACACTTTGATGATGTTTGGTAAATAAATATAAATAGTATTTTGAATAGGAAAGAATAGACTGTTAGTGCAATCTGTGTCTCCCCAGGTGAGTCAGAAGGGGAAAGGGAGATGCTACCAGCCTCACCTTAATGAGAGTGTGGGACTCATAAGATTTGTTTATTATGAGACTTTGGTCTTCCTGATCCACCTTGGTTTCTTGCCCTCACACTCAGCTCTCCTCTCCCCACCTCATCTCCAGACATGAGTAGCTTCCAGAATCTCCTCCTAATCAGAGAGGCTGAGATACCCAATGCACTGTGCTCTAGAAGGCATGTACATAGCTGAGGATATTCAATATCAAAAGTGGCAGGGTCTCCACTTGTCTGACTGATATAGGGGTCAGTGAGACAAAGGTAAATCGGAGGAGGAGAGAAAGATTCAACTTAAATAAACCTGTCAAGCACTGTGATGATGTAAAACATAGGCTTGGCAGTTTCAGGACACAGAGCATAATTTATCTGGATTTTCTGAAAGCCTTTGACAAAGAACACCTGACAACCTGCTCTAGCAAGCTAAAGCAGCAGGATCCAACATAAAACACAATATAAAGGATGACACAAAGGAGAGGAGAGTAGGCAGGTGATGTTCAGACTCTGTCAGGCAATCAGCACATTCATAACACTGCTTTAATTCTTTCAATTGCTTCAGTCTAAACAATGTAAAAACCAGACGGAAGAACTATGCTGAAAAGACAGTGAGGTGACTGTGTGTGTAGTGTGTGTGTGTGCACGTGTGTGTATGTGTGTGTGGGTATGTGTTGGGGAATGGAAGGTAGTGTTTTCGTTGACAGAAATAAATCCCTCAGATAGTGTCAGATAGGAAACATCTGCCCACTGTGCTGTCCTGTTCCATGGTAAGCATAACCACTTCTGCGTATGCTTGGTTGGAGGGTGAAGGAATGAAACGACCTTCAGCATTTACTGAGCACTTACTATATAACACTAACTTTAACACGATGAGCATTAAATTTCATGAGCAATGGAAAAGCTAAGGGCTGTAGGAGTATAGAAGAGGGAGTAATTAACTCTGCCTGCTTGTATGGCAGAAGGCTTTGCAGCGACTCTCAGCCCTGGCTGTATGTTAGAATCACTCAGGGAGCTTTTAAAAATACTGCTGCCTGGGCCCCAACCCTGGGCAATTAACTCAGAATAGGTGGGCTGAGGCCTGGGCCTCAGTGTTTCTAGAAAGCTCCCCAGGTGATTCTGATGCACAGCCAAAGTTAAGATGTACTGCAGTAAGTGATATTTAAATTGCATCTTAAAGAAATAACTAAATTATATCAGGTGGAGAAGAGGATGCAGTTATAGGTAGAAAAAGTGGTAGCAATGGTACAAAATAGCATGTTTTATGCATAAAGATTTCACTGATGAGGAGGAGCTCTATGTGACTGGAGTATAGGGTATGGGTATGAGGAGGGTAGGATGGGGGAATAAGACTGGAAAGGTAGACTGAAACTGATGCAAATTAAAGAAACCAGCTTTATGAATGTGCTGATCGCCTGAAAGGATTCAAATATCATCTGCTGTGGCTGCTTCTTTTCATCATGCTTTTTATTATATTTTATTCTGCAATCATACTTTGTAGTTTGTATAATATGATATAATATAAATCATATTATAAATAGAACAATGTCCCTTCTAGCTAGTTTTTCATTATTATTTCCTCAACTGGAATTCGGAACTTTATCACTTGATGTTAAATCTTCTACAAAAGCTTAAAAAATCTTTTTTGAGACAGGGTCTTACTCTGCTACCCAGGCTGGAGTTCAGTGGCATGATCAAAGCTTATTGCAGCCTTCACCTCCTGAGCTCAGGTGATCCTCCCACCTCGGCTTCCCAGCTAGCTGGGACCACAAGTGTGCACCGACACACCTGGTTAATTTTTTGTGTTTTTTTTTGTAGAGACAGGGTTTTACTATGTTGCCCAGGTTGGTCTTGAACTCCTGAGCTCAAGCCATCCTCCTGCCTTGGCCTCCCAAAGTGTTGGGATTACAGGTATGAACCAATGCGCCCAGCCGAAAATTTTTGAAAATGTAAAGAATACAGAAAAGCTTAAAGAAGAAAACAGCAATCATATTCCCATCAGCCAGAATTAACTACTGTTAATATTATGGCATATTTGCTTCCAGTGTTTTCAAATAGGAAAACCACTCTATTTTATTATTCCGGTAAAAATGATGTATGCCCATTATAAAGATTTCAAGCAGTGTAGAAATACAAAAGACAAAAGTTTATGAAATCAAGGCAAATATCATCAAGTGATCCACCATCCCTGACATCTTTAGAATGATTAATACATCCTTGTATAAAAAATAGGACTTATGTTATTAATTTTACATGAGGAAAAAAGGCTGCATTAAATCTAACACATTATTAAACTTCAAATAAATATTTCTTTACCACAAGATTTCTCTGAATTAAAAATGATGCCTCTTCAAGGTCTGGCAAATTTTTCCTTAAAGGGCCAAATAACAAATATTTTAGGCATGAAGGCTCTGTTCAGATCTGTTGTTTTGTAGTTAAAAGCAGCAGGCAGGCAAGGTGTAAATAAATGGGTGAAGCTGTATGCTGTGGTCTGAATGTTAGTGTTCCCCCTAAATTCACACGTTGAAACTTAATCACCAATGTGATACTTTTAAGAGATGGGGCCTTTGGAAGGTGGTTAGATCATGAGGATGGAATCGTCATGAATGGGGTTATAAAAAGAGACCCCAGAGAGCTGCCATGTCCCCTCCATCATGTGAGGACACAGAGACAAGGCGCCATCTATGAACCAGGAAACAGGTCCTCACCAGACACCAAATTTGCCAGCAGCTTGATTTTGGACTTCTCAGCTTCCAAAACTGTGAGAAATAAATTTCTGTTGTTTATAAACCATTCAGTTTATCGTATTTTTGTTGTAACAGCCAAAATGGACAAAAACTTTATTTACAAAAATAGATGGCCCTCAAGCAGTAGTTTGTGTACCCCTGCTCTAGAGTTAAATAAAGTTGATTCTGAAAAACGTTTAGATCTATTTACCACATGATTTCATTTTGGATACCATACCTTAGCTTCAAATGGTGAGAAAATCAGAACTCTCTTGATGCCCTGATCTCCACTCCCTCACCTCCCCAATCTTGATTGTATCATTATTTTTATACCACCCAGATTTATAATGTTCCCATTCTGTTTTGGTACCATAATTCTAAGATTGCTTAGTATCAGTTCTACATGTAAATGGGTCCAGTGCTCACAAATAGTTCATTTGTCATGGATTCTCTGCTTGAGCTCTTTGATTGATCTCTTAATTGGCTAGCTTTGGTTACCAAGCAGTTTTTCCCAACAAGTGTTCATGTGTACTTTACTAGAATTAATGCAACTTATACTTGATTTACATCTGGGGTCATTCTTTCTTTTCACCAAATTTTGTAGACATTGCACCATTTTCTTCCACAATGAGAATTATTGTGAAGTCTGACAGCCATCTGCTTTTCCAGCCCTGGTAGGTGATTTACTTTCTTTGGATGTCTGAAGCATTCTTTCTCTTTGAAATCCAAATATTTACCTAAAAAATATTTGTAGAATAGTACATCCTGAGTTTCAGCTGAGTACATGGCTGTCCACTTACAGAATACATTTCCCAGCATCCCCTGTAGCTAAATGTGGACAAATGACCAAATTCCGGTCAATAAGGTGTAAGCAGAAATGATCTGTGTAACCCCTGGGTCATGTCCACAGAGTGCTTGGCAGTACTATCATCATCCTTCCTGTGGGCTGAAATGTAGGTATGGAGAGGAGCCAGCTTCCACCTTTGGGATTAGAATGTCCTGTAACTACTGTAATGAGGAGCTGATGGAGATCAA